ACCACAACAAAAAATTCAGTAATGTTATGTGATGCCCATTTTTAAAAATGTTGAAGACAATAGGGAGGAAATATATTGATTTCAGAGAAAATTACTGGCAAAGAATTGGAAGAAATCCTGATTCCCATATTTTTCAATACACACATGCACATACACACACACATGCACTTCTAAAATATGACTGAAATGAAGATATAAGGTAGCTGTGAAGGGAAAAGAAGTCACAAAGAACAATATACTAGCTATGAAAATGATTTTCACTTTTTAAATTGGTTCCCCAAAAGGGAGGAAAAAACCTTATGATTCCTATCTTACTCATTCTCATTTTTCAACTGGGGATAGCAGAGGCAATTCAATAACAGATAGTGCTGAACAAATTTAAGGGGATTGTGTTTCCACCTATTTTTTTTTTTTTTTATAGTTAGTGGGTAATAATGTATCCCAAGTAAGCATGATCTGTTTGTATGGAACATACTGTTAAGAGTGACTGAGCAACACACAACAAACTAAATTAAAGAAGACAAACAACCAATAATGAATCATTGAAAAGCAAGTAGAATAGAACTGAAAACCAAGACTTTCTATCATGATAAAGTGGCTTTCCGGAAAGTTAAGGGAATTTATAGTTTACAGAGAACAGATTTTCAAGTTACTTCTGTTGTTTTCACAATTAGGTATGACTCCAGCCTTCTACTTTTGGTATGGAAAAACAACTGAGGAAAAATATAGCTCTTTTTATTCTTTGCACATCTAAGGAAACTTAACCATTCTGTAAATACTGACAAAGATGAAAGCTTCTTCGCTTGGTACATAAGGTAAAAAGTTCTGTAATCCAGTAATAATCCCACTACTGTTACACAGGATTAGAGATGAGTTACAGGCAGTGGCTCTGATGAGATGACCTTAACATTACCACCCCTGAGACCCCTCTTTTGTTTCCCACCTGCCCCAGCAGTGATTATACATTGAATGATTCTTTCAGTCCTTCCAATTTGTGGCTCCTGGTTATGACTGTTTTATCTCCAGACATAGGGAATGAGTTAGGAAGGGACAATTTGTTATGCATCAGACTTGGGTAGAGGAAGCAAGTTTGGAGCATAGACATTTGTTATTATAATAAAACCACAAGTTGTGAAAGTGTCTTGGCACTTTGAAATCACTAAAAAAGTTTTAATATCTGGCCTTGTTTTATTGTTAGCAAGTATGTAACCATTTTAAAATTATATAAGAAACTCAGATGTTATTAAACTTAGAAGGAAAAACTATGAAACTGGTTAGACAGACCCATACACAGTAACTGTTTTTCTCTAGATATTTTCTACCTATTGAAAATGAGACAATAAAATTATAAGATATAGCTGGGCATGGAATTGAGGAAACAGATATGGTAGAACATTGATGTGTTGTATTAATTTCATTTAGGTAAAGAAGAAGTTAAACATGTAAATCTTGAGAAATAATCTACACCTTTGCCTTAATAATCCCATTAATTTATATAAAAGTGGGGGAATAAATCATCTGTAGTAAGTCCTAGTTAGTTGTTTCCTTTCATAAACTTTAATTAATCTTTGGAGAGTTAAGGACAATTGTTTGCTTTCTCATCAAGTAGTGGTTTCCATAGGGCTGAGTACATTTCCTATTCCTGTGAAAATAAATTACAGAAACATAGTGTCTTAAAAAAACCTGTTCATTCTCTCATAGTTCTCTAAACCTAAAGCCCTATCATATGCTCAGCTAGCTTCTCTATTCAAATTCTCCCAAGACTGAAATCAAGGAATCCCTTCTATAGTCCTGGCCTTCTCCTAAGCTCATGGGTTTGTTGGTAGAATTAGGAATTATAGCATGCACAACTGAGAGCCTGCTTTCTTGCTGGCTATCAGGCTGGGGCTATTCTTGGTTCCTACAATCTTTTCCGGCCACATAATCCTCCCCACCTGAGATTTTGCTTTTTCAAGGTCAGCAGCAGAGTCTCTGCTGCTGCCTTGAATTTCTCTAGCTTCTCTTTGAGTATGGCTCCTAGATTTTCTTTTAGAGTTCACTCCCCTATGTCAAGCCCAACCAGGATAACCTTCCTTTAAAATTCAATTGATTAACACAGGTACTGATAATTCAGGAGTAAACAAAGTTGGGCTTAATTCTGATGGAGGTGATAGTCTACAGTTGTGGTGTGTCTGTATTAGTTGACTGCTGTGAAGGAAATCTGTAAGCTGGCATAAGAGTAACTAGGTAAATGTGAACTTCAAAGTATATTCTACGTTAGCTAAGAAGAAAATAAGTTTTCAACCTTTACATTTTATATATTAAAATATACTATATAAAATGTATTTTACATTTTAAAATATACTATAAATATATACTTTACATTTATATATTAGCTTGTAGTGCAAATCCTACTATGTCATAGGAAAAATCTACTTCAAGTTGGGATATTACTCAAATATGAATATGTTTTATATTACAGAATCCACTATTTTTCACAACAAATTTAACATTAAAATAAATCATATGAGCATACAAGCAGCCATGTGGAGGGTTTTCACTTCCTTTGTACCCACCATTTCCTCTCCTCTACCCAGTTTATAAATAATTCATTAAATCCTGAAAAGTTCACATCCCAGAAATGTTTCTCAATCCCATCCCTGCTCATTATCCCCAGTATGCCAGAATTTATGCTTCTAATTTGATCCTCTGAACAATCTTTACTAGTCTTCCTATTACTAACCTATTCTTACTCCATTTCATCTTCACAGTTGTCAGATTATTTTCCTGAAAACTGAAAAAAGTCCCTATCCTTATGGAGTTTACAATTTAGCAGAATGGGCCAAAAACACACACACAGACACAGACACACACATTCCCATCAAATTAACAAGATAATGAGCTATAAAAAAGTAAAAACACGTAAGAGGAAACAGTGATTTTAGATATGGTGGTAGTATCTGATAACAAATGTTAATGCCCTCCAGCTAAGAACCAGTAGTCAGACCAAGTTTGGTTTTGTGTTTATTGCAAAGAGCTAGAGAACACATGATAAAAAAAAAAAAAACTGCAGGTACTCTCAGTAAAAGGAATTTTTTGTGGGGGGGATCAGGACTCAAACTGTGTAAAAGGAAACTGTAAAAGACATAGAATGGGTCTCATGTTATGTGATTTAGGGGAAGAATTAAATCTTTCCTCTGGATTGAATTGCTGTCAAAAGGTGGAGATAATTCTGTAATGAGTGTGTATTCATTTATCTGAGACTTGGAACATTTACAACTCTTTAATAATCTGAATGTAACAGATATTTTAACATTGTCTACAGGGCAGGAAGAATAGCAGAAGGATAAGGTTCAAGGAACTATGGTCCTATATAGTAGCCAAAATGTTTGCTTGTGTATGTTCTTGTAGGGCTCAGTCAGGTTTATGGAGGGGTCTTATTTTCATCTTGTCTACTATGGTCACTAAGTGGCTGCGCCTGATCTTTGTTTTCTGAGATCATTTATGTTCAATACAACATTGACTTAGTTGATGATGTGAGGCCACTTGCCAGTATCAAGGCCTAGCTAACAGTACCAATCTAGCTCTTGGCTGTCCAGGTCTGTTTTATTTTTTCCACTAACAAAGGTATCAGCTGATACAATTATCTCATAATTGCAATGCATAACTCTTACTCCTATTTAAGATTGTTTCTTAAATATTCATCAGTATTACTATTTAGGGTAACAAGTTCAAAAACTCATTACAGTTTTGGTAATAACAATAGAAGCTTACCTAATCTTTGATAAACTATGTAAGACTTTCTGCTGTATACTGTGTTAAAGAAAAAGCGGAGTGATAATCCTAGACATGAAAGAATTTGCAATTTTTCTGGGGAGTGCTAGGGAGATGAATGGAGGTGGTAAGAACAGATGTCAGAATTTCTTTTTTTTTTTTTTTTTTCTGGTACCGGGAATTGAACTCATGACCTTGCGCTTGCCAGGCAGGCGGTGTGCCACTGAGCTAAATCCCCAGCCCCAGAATTTCTTAACTATAAAACACAACTGCCATTTCTTAGAAAAGGCACAGAACTCAATTGACAGACCAAGGACAACCTGCTCTCAGCTGAACAGTTCAGGAACTGGGAGTAAGACAACTAAAAAATTTTAGAAATCACATCAGAAGTGTCAGTCATTTGCCTTACTCAATCGTGAAAGCAGGTGCAGATAAACTGCATGTGTAGTTCTGATGAGTGTGCATGCACAGGCAGTCTATACAAGAATCACATGTAACCCTCATGAGAATCAGGTAGATTCCAGGACTTCAACTCCAAAGAGTCTGATTCAGCACACATTTCTGAGATTTAATCATGTTACTTTTGTTTGTCAAGTAGTATTTCATTGGATGAACATAACGGGTTTTTTTTTGTTACCTACTCTCCCACAGATGGACATCTAGGCTGTTTATAATTTTTTGGCAACTATACATAAAGTTGCTATAAGCATTTCTTTTTTTTTTTAATAAGCATTTCTGTACTAGTATTTTTGAGAATATATGCTTTTCTCTTGGATAAATATCAGATGTGAGACTGCTTGGTCACAGGATAGATACATGTTTGACTTACATGAAACTGAGAGGCACATAATTTTGGCATCAATAAACAATTTTAGAACTGATCAAAGTGCAGCCTTGAAGAGACAACAAAGGATCTGTTATAAGGTCTTAAGAAAACTCTGCCCCTCACCAATGGAACTCTGGGGCTCTGTAAGAGCCTCTTACACGTAGGCAGAGGGATGAAAACTGTGGAGATATATGTAGGTAAATGTAGTTTGGTAGCACAACTGATAGTGAATAATGAGTATGTGAACTACTTCAACAAATTTTTTGCCTCTACATTTCCTGAAAATTCTATTTCATTATGATAAAGCTCAGAAAGCCAGGCATGGTGGTGAACACGTGTAATCCCAGCACTAGGGAGGCTCAGGCAGGAGGATCTTTGCTAGTTCGAGACCAGCCTGTGGTACAAAGTGAGCTCAAGGCCAGCCTGAACTCCATAGCGAGACCCTGTCTCAGAAAGACAAAAAAACCCCAAATGATTAAGCTCAGAAAGGGTAATTCCTAAATAGTATAGACTTAAGATCAAAACTGCTTCTGACAGAGACCATTATCACAAAGGTTTGATGGCATGTTTGGCTGAAGGCTGTTTGAGGCTGGCCACTGAGGTAGGAAAATTTTCTTGGCTGGAAAAGAGGTCTCTAAGCTGATGGGCCTTGAATATTTCACAATAGTGTTTTCTCAGTCAGCTCTCTCCGGTTATCCTTGGCATTTAAAAACCACTGGCCACCCTTCAGCAGGTACTAGACTCCACTGGACAGCAGGTAGAAAACAAGAGAAAGGAACTGGAACTCTCACTTTCCCACCAGAAACATCCAGGTATCTGTCTCCATTTCTTCTTTCCTGTTTCTCTCCAGGAACAATGAAGAAGTCCTTCCCACTAAAGCAGTCTATTTCATCTTCTCTTCCCGTGTCTACCTGAACCATGGCTTGCTATGGTTTGAAAAGCCCTTCCAAAATTCATGTTGAAATCTGTCACTGTCACATTAAGCGCTGGCACCTTTAAGGAAGGCGAACAGGACTTGAACATTCTACCTTCATGTATGAACTAATACTGCTACCTTGGAGTGAGTTCTTGATTAAAAAAAAAAAAAAAAGACGAGGACCGATTTTCTGTCTCTTGAATGCTCTCTAGTTCCTCCCATGCTGTTATAAACATTCTCAGACTGCCCAGCCTCCAAAACTGTGAGCCAAATAAACTCGCTTATAATTTATGCAGTGGACGGTATTCTGCTGTAGCAGACAGACAAGGCAGGGGCACAATCCCACGCGTACCCCAGCCTCTCCTAACAGTTGCACCGAGAGAGCCAGCTCCTCCACACCAGGCAGCTCCGGCTGCTGCCCCATCTCTCTAGCTCCATTCCAGTTAAAGCTACGACTCTGACGGCCTTGTCCCCTCCCTCACGCGGGCCCGGCGCGGAGGGTCTGCGGCGTGCCGTGCGCGGACACGGTTCCCAGCGCAGAGGGTGGTGACAGCGAGCGTGCGGCCCGCGACTCACTGGGCTGGGCGACGGTCTCTGCCGCGCACAGGTGTCTCACCCTATCTTCATTTTGCAATAAAGTTGTGGGGAGGCCGCGGTACGCAACAAGTGGGGACACAGTGGCACCGCGCGACCAACTGCGCTCTCCCGGGACCACGGCCGCCCAAAGCGAGCGCCTGCCATTGCCCGAGGGGACCGGGCCCTGCCGGCGGGGCCCCGGCTGCGGCACGCCTCGGCGTCGGGACGAGGGAGGCGGAGGGGAAGAGCCGGGCGCTCCCGGCCAATGGCAGCTGCTGAACTTACACCTCAAGACGTCAGCGCGGCCGTGGAAACGGATGTCACACAGCTGGCTCGGAAGTGGCTCCTCCCGCTTTGGAAGAGGGGCGCGCGCGGCGGCCGCCGAGGAACCTGGGCGGCGCGAGGGAGGGGCGCGCACCGCACCCGCACCCGCACCCCCAC